TGGTAGCCTCACTGCAACCGTCAAGAATACTTCATCAAGACACTGTTTGGTGGCGTTGGCGATTAAAGAACCGAGTGTCTCAGTCATAATTGACCAACGGAAGGTCAGGTTCTGTGGACCAGGTTCTTAAACAAATAGTAACCCAGCGCAAATTCAAAACGAACCGATAAGCAACCGCAGAAGTGAACTCAGCTAACCAGTTTCGCTCGATATATCAGACACCCTCGAATAACCTGCATTGGCACAGAGAGCTGAAAAATTGTCCTCTTAGGAGCCAGTCAACACCGTATCACCAAATGCACACCATGTGTTTGAGTGACTGTAGCGTCATGCCCTATCTCGGTGCAAGTTGATCACATTGACGATAAGCCACTCGTTGCTACGTTGTGTAAGGTTAGCTACTAACCCAAAGGTATAAGAGGTTCCTGATTTTTTTACGGATGTTTATCTCAGTATGGTCGAAACGGCTTAACATTTAAGCTTCAGTTTTCAGCAGGGAAGGATCTTACTCACAATATAAATTCCATGCCAAAACAATTTGTGCATGCTCTCTCCACACACACACACACACACACACCTTCAATGCCCTTCTCGGAAACAAAAATCCAACCAGTGGAATTTGTCTTTCATCTGAAAACTAAGGAATGAAAGACATGTTTCACGCCAGCTAACATGACATGAACCGAAGGACTGGTGGTGCATGGTCCCTGAAATGCTGATCAAGCATTTCTGGTGTTTGCTACGACGTTCACCAACTAGCCCGTTAGACAGATGTATACTGATGCCTATTCCGAACACGGGTATAACAGGTATGCATGCTTTTTAGCTTTTTCCCCATACTGCCTTCACTCTCAGGATGAAGTGAACACAGTAGCTACCGCGTTTCCAGTAATAAAGTTGCGACAGTTTGTTACGCATTCTCTATATGGCTGTTTTTTCATCCTCATTGCAAACGTTTCGACTTCACAAGTCAAAAAGCAAAAGACTCAGTACACTATAACGAAACGTGTTGAAAATGTCTTTGAACTTTTAACAATTCCCACAATTTGTCGGGCGCAGTTCTGACTGTTACTTTTCCCAAAATGAAACATCCTCGCTATCATCCTCCCTCAAGGGGATTTTATTGCGTTCTTCAATGCACTTGCCAATTACTGTCACTTTGGCGTGGTCTGACTTGATTGCATGTGCTGCCCAAAAACACCTCGACCTTGATCTCGTTAAAGTGAGGACAAAGAAGCGTAACAGGAACTAAGGTATTCGGTCGTTTGTATCCAAGTGAAAAATGTCTGATTTCTCCGAAACTTTTAAAATCAAACCAAAGTGCCCTGGAAGGCGTATTTTCGGAAAAAAATCTCAAAACGGACATACTGATGTTGAAATGGCGATCCGAAGAACATAAGTAGACCATGTAAGCATGCATCACACAGCGAGTGATGACTGACAAGATACTGGAGATAAGAGAATTCTGATGCGTGTTAATTCTGGTTGGTAAAAGGTCGTACCTATAACCTTTAGGACAATGGATGTGGGCTCAGATAAAACAGGGTCAGGATAAGGCTGAGCATCCAATAGGACTTCTTGTGCAGAGGTGTGACAAGCGTCAGAGTGCTTGCTAACCACAAAATTTAATGAGACACTCTGGGAATCTGCTGCATTTAAGGCGATGTTTTGGGGATAATTTTGAAAGTGGCTGGCGAACATGACGCGAGCATTGTTAGTCCGGCGAGGACCAGAAAATGCAGTAACTAAATTACGAATAGGATACGCAGGAAAAGACACCACTGTCAGTTCCAGAGCATCAAATCAGAGTTTCCAGAACCGTAACTTTGGTTCACCAAATCTTATTGGCCCCAAGATATTTAAGACTTGACAGACAACTACACCCAACAGCGATCGGTAGTAAGCTGTCAGATAGTTTTTTATGACACGTATCTGATGTGATGCATTTGCGCAATTAATTAACACTTGGGGTTTGGTTTTCATTCTTGCGTCGAGTTTTGATGATGACAAACGATGCTATGGCGTCTAGAAAATAGCCCAACTGTTGATACACCAGCTGTATGACCGTAGCTGCCTTCGTTACTACGACACACTCCAGAAGAAAAATAGGTGCTGCAGGTTACGTGTCATCCGCTAAATGATATTTTGCCAAGAACGAGTCATTCCCTATGGCCAGTGACCGGTTCCTTTCACATTTGCCGGTCGGTGGACGTATAACGCATAATACAGAACTGCTATTTAGATAACAATAGCACAGATGCCTGTGAAAAGTCTCAGACCGAGCCACGATTTTGCAATTTAATCAAACTGTTGCACGGTACCGTCCCAAATTCGGACAATATAAATGCGATATAATATGGCACAAAGTCCTTAGGAATGAAAAACTATGGTAATAGAGAGCCATTTTTATCAACTTAAGTACTAAGACGCCAGATCCTCCTTAATTTTCCCTGCGTTACCCGCTTTGAATTCAGCCTAACCAAAAATATGGTTTTGGGTGTGCCATCCATAATTTACTGTTGGACGGTTAGTTCAGAAAAGTCACAGTTGTCCCCTGGGATCATCCGTCCTTCGGAGAGAACATCCTTCAAAAAAGACCAATTGTGGTCAGCCTCTGAAATGGGAAGCAGCTAGTATAGCGCACACCAAGAAGTCACTGTTGTCACCATCAGGTGTAATAACATTAATGCCAGACAGGTGACTGGGTCACAATAAGTTCTACTCGTCAGCTGTTTGCTTTTTTGGGTTCCGAACAGTTTTGATCATTACGTCAAATCCAGACCACTTTTAACAGTGTTGAACAGCGGTGTGTTCGCATTAATATTTTTCTACGATCCGACCAGAGTGAGCTTAAGATACTGTGTTATCAGCAGCCAAGTTGAATCACAATGGACCCATTTACAACCGTTCTGAGTGTCCTCGTGCGCTAAACCGCACTAGGTTGAAGCACAGTCCTCGCCCGAGTAAACCCAGAGTAAACAATCTCACTCTGGTTGTCTAGATAAGTCGGCATGCCGTTAAACCAAGCATCTCTATTAATACTCAACTTGGCCAGTCTGTGCAAAGTAGACTGAGTCCTCAACATTTTTTTACAAAGATCCAAGTTTAAAACCCGTCAGAAATACTCGTCATATCCCGGATGAATGCCGTTTTTTCTGAAAATTCCTGTCTTCTAATAATTTATAAAGTTCAGTTTTCCTTTAGTATAGAAGACTTGAATCCATCAGAGTGGCTCAGTAAGGGGTCAGAAGTGATTGGCAGGTGTGTAAGTTCGGATACGTAGCAGCTTTGTCCAACAGTGGGAGACAAACAAATGTATCTGATAGTATTTCGTCTATCAACAGCATTCAGTTTTGTTCAGAAAAACAGCTGAGATATTCATCAGCATTTTCTTCAAATAACATTAGACTCAACCTGTCTTTTTTCCGATTTCATCTTTGAAATTCCGGGCTTCGGAAAAGACGTAAATTCTGAAGATGTCAGAAGTATCCACTAAGAAACAATCACATTAGTTTACCAGAATAATTAGAAAACTGTCTTATGGATCTGTTGACTTTTTGTCCCATTTACCTGGTAAGTTAGAATCCAGCTGAGCGAATTTCACTTTCGATGTACAAAAGTCATTGTAAACATTTCGCATAATGACTGCCCGTAGAACATCACACACTCCGTTGGACAAAATCATCCGCCCGTCCCACAGACAATCCAGGCCCGCAGTCGCCATCTGTAGCCTATACTGCTGGAGTTACTGAAACATGCAACTTTTGGAACTTCAGATAGTACTCCCCTGTCGTTACCCTCAGAAAAGAGCATGGCTACCTGTTTTTCCTCCATTTTATGTTGATTGGTGTTCAGAGTCAGCTACCTTCAGATAGTACTTCCCTGTCGTTACCCTCAGAAAAAAGCATGGCTACCTGTTTTTCCTCCATCTTATGTTGATTGGTGTTCAGAGTCAGCTACTGAGCTAAAGCGGTTTGAGTGACTTGACTATTCACGCGAAAAATGCGCACAGACGATCGCAGCAACTCTGGACGCAGCGATGGGCTGAAAGTTCATCGGGGGGACAGGGAATTTAAGCTACTACACGTCAGAGGACTAACTCATCCGGTTACACCAGGGCGCTTTATTTGTCGAGGCACACCGACGAGAGTTCAGCATGGGCTACAACCGACCACTCTTACCCAGCTTTATGTGTGTTTTCTTGCCCTACTGTGCAACTACACATTTCAAGTTAGTGTCGATGCAATACGGTAAATCAAAGTGTTTTAAAAATAACTATAGGCAATATTTGCATTGAATAAAAGGCTCCTATGAGGCAAGTTTCAAGTTGAGAGGTATTCACTCGGTGCCCTCAGGCTCCATCCGAGCCGTGCTAGTACCATCACAAACGGATACATTTTGTTTTGCGCAGTATGTGCTTTACTTCTTTCTGACCCCAAGAAAGGAAGTGAAGTTTGGCAGCGTCATGACAAATGGCTATGTAAAAGGGGTCGGAAAGTTTGAAGACAGCACAGCATGAACGCAAAATGTTATATTTCATAGTCATAATTTGAAAAAACAAGCTGGTATGGTCGATAAAAAAGCCTCCAGTGAATCAAACAGTTGGAGTAAACGAAGAAATAAATTTTCAAATCCTCATGGAGACGCATAACAATCTTGGACTATTCATGCGCACTTCTTAACGAAGTGGGGGCAGAGAATGGATGTCATTCCTCTTAATTGTTTTTTGATAAATCATACGCATTGCACACCATAGGTTTGATGGTCAGTTTGGCAACAATAATGTTGTAGCCTTCCTAGAGACAATATTTGTCACGCTCGGATAATTTGAGTGACGGGAAATACCCATATTAAACATCATTTAGACACGTCCGTACTCGATCGAGCGTTCCCTCCTGTGGGCTGCTCCGACCAAAGAAAATTCGCCGCACTCAAGAAATTGCACAAAATATATCATTAGCTTTTGCTGGTTTGAATGAAATTCCGTTATTTTCTTACAGATTCTTCACGAGGTTGTGTCTCACTCGACCATATGTCTAATGACACACGAACGTCAACAAACCCTATGTCTCATAAGGATGTTCTTGCAAGACGAACTTACAAGGGAAGAAGCCAGTCAGTCTGTGGTGCATCTGGAGGAATTTTCTTCCGATAAATGGGCCTTAGATTCAGTGAGTTTGATGTTTTGACGTGCTTACGTTCTTTTTTGTGTCACACAGTATGTACACAGAAACACTCCAAAATAGCAAATTGTGGGGCTGTCCTATAACCTGAAGATCTCAATTTACCCTGCGGTACTGCATTCCACTGTCATAAGGACAGCTTTTTACATAGTTTCAGAATTTTCCACTGCTGATCACGTCACTGACACAAACAAGTGTAATTCCAACGAGTCGTGTTGCTAATATTAGCCCTGTGCCGCTCTTTGTAGTCTAGTACTGCTGTGAATTATGTGCGTTTATCAGCGGGTCAAGAAACCAGTAGCTCAAGGCGATGAGTTTGCTATCATGCTATCCCAAGTTGTTAGTTAGCCCTATGGTCATTCAATAACCTCTATACAATCGTTTCCTCGGCCCTTGGGTCTTGTTGCAGCTCTGTCTGCTTCGTCTGTTTCGTTGTGGTCTGCATAGTTCATCTCAACGGTATCCGAAAGTTAAACATACGTGTTCACTGGATGTCCGATTCCCATTTGTGAGAATTAGTTCAAATTCCTTTGGGCTGTTGGTACAAACAAATACACTTCACTGTCCGCAGAGAAGACCCCTAAAGTCTGCAACATGACAAATTTCAGTAGCGACTTTTGAAGTTGTTTGCCATCTCTCTGGTGAAAACAGTAAAAATCAAACAGAGTAAACCTTAATCGGTCGCAAAAACCTGTGACTTTGGTTGCCGGGTTGTTAGTCTGTTTTTTTTTCGGACTCGAGTGGCCTCCTGCCACCGACTGTGGTTGCCGGGTCGTAGTCTGTTTTTTTTTCGGACTCGAGTGGCCTCCTGCCACCGACTGGATGACTTTCCTGGGTGTTGAAGCGATTATCCTGATGGCACATGGGCGTAACCGCCAGCTGAAACAGTTATCTACAATTTAGTGGGGGCGCACCAGGGTGCCCCGCTCAAAAAGGAGGTGCCTAATAGATAGCAGTCTTGGAATTTTACCCCATGTCACCGATGACAGAAAACGGCCAAAATCAAGTTTTCTAACCATGTTTGAAAAAGTATTGGCACTGATGATCTTCCGGGGCTGTGCAATCGCCCTTTTTTCCGTGACAATAATCTGGAGACAGATATGCATACTTGGATGAGACTCACTAAGGCCACATCAGAAATAACCCTCGCGTTTCCTTTTGATCACTGACTGAAGTTTGGTGGAATGCTCGAACATCTACAGGCTAATTAGATTTCCGTGCCAAGCAAGATACTCTGATCACAATAAAACTCAGATATGTTGTAGTTATGTAAAGGTGTTACCGGACATATGTTCTATTAGATCGGCCGTCGGAAGCAAGAAAAGGGTACATGACTTTAGCTGTGTCATCCCTCACCTGATCTGGAATTGCTTAACTTAAAACCTGAAGAATACATCCATGTCCTGTCCCACTGCACCGGAAACTGACATATCAAAATTACATGATCGTAACAAACACATGCCTCAAAGCTGCGCCCAATAGTAGACGATAAATACAAGCTAAACACCAAGTTGATGCTCCTCTACGATCAACACTGAGAAACAACAAATTCCTGTTGCTGACAGTTCTCAATACACGAGGTGGTCGGTGGTGACTACGTCCAGTCCTTCCAAGGCATCACAACTGTGAATGCTCGCGGGAAACACAGTCCCATTTTTTAACTCCTGTCTCAGCAAGTAGTACGACTTTACCCCCAGACCCCCTCGTAATGCGATTTCTCATACTAGTCGCACTGCTCAATAGTCTTTGCCGGTGTGGTGGACCCTGCTGAAATGAGGTNTCCTGTCTCAGCAAGTAGTACGACTTTACCCCCAGACCCCCTCGTAATGCGATTTCTCATACTAGTCGCACTGCTCAATAGTCTTTGCCGGTGTGGTGGTCACTGCTGAACTGAGGTTTCAGTCAACGTGGCTCGCAAGAGGATTGCAGATCTGGCGCTCAAACGCCACGACCAGGTGACGACTTTACGTAAAACAATGGCTGTCATGTGGAAAGTCATGCGGCTTTCCGAATTCTCTTGGTTTAGCTGATGTACAGCGAAATTAATATTGTGAAATTGTATGCAACAACCGCGTAGCAACGGTGATATGATGTAAACTTACCAACACTTGAACTGTTGATCCATAGCGTTCATCAATCACCAAGTCCATTAATTACACTACATGAATTGTTTAAAGAATTCTTCCCTATTTTGCGTTTAATATCACAAGTATATTCTTTGTCGTAGCAGCTGAACTTCGTAGGGCCATTCCCGTGATCTGGTTGAGAGTAAACGAAGAATGAAATTCAACTTGAAAGCAAACCGACCAACAATCTAAATTTGTATCATTGCACGCTCTGCAAAACTTCTAGAACTTCTGGCAGGTCCACTGTTATTGCCCTGTCAGTCGTGCATTCTCCTCCAAACTGTCATTCATTCACTGCTCCCCACGCACAGTATCGTCTACGAAAGCCCCGACGGTGTCAAGTCGTTGACAGCTCATACCTTGGCTTGCTGAACCTCCATAGGGTTCATACGAGACATCTCATTCAACTTCAATAATTGTGTCTTCGTCTCTAACTCATTTAACCGATTCTTCCGTTTGAAAAGTTATTCGTCTCATATGTCTCAAACGACTCTTGATGACAGACGAATCATATCTAAAAAATATAAGGTTTGGAGCGATGGATGAAATCAGCTCACAAGTGCAGCAGTCAGTAGAGATTTTCTGATTTTCAATGCGGCAGGTGACGATGAAATGGGGGATACATTCCGCCTACCCTGGAGCCGGGCTTAAAGTAAGCATTGAAAAATTGTTAAGAGAGAAAATTCAAACGGAGCGTTGTCTACCAAAGAGTTTCCAGCAACCTTCTGGGTAGTGTGTCACGTCCAAACATTAAAGTCTGTTTCCCATCTAAATTTATCAAAAGTTCCATTTTGCTATATAAATTGAGCTCACATGTTGAGAATGCTGGAATTTCGGACCCAAAGGGATCTTCCGAATTTAATCGCGCAGTAATATTTAGTGACATTATGGAACAAGATAGATTCCATTGAGTCGTATCTTGCTCATGAGCTGAAAATTTTGGTCTGAGTGCTGCTAGCTAGCTACGGCTCTGGAGACTGCGTAATCCGATGAGCCTCAAAAGGGCAAAATCGGTGGTGGGTGGTTTTAAGATTTTTGGCAACCACCCCATATCACCCGTGCTTGCGGAAGAAAACTTGACTCAGCTGCCCACACTCCAGACTTTGTTCCTTTAAGCGCAGAATTTCGCTATGATTCTCCTTAGCCTGCAAACTTTCCCAGCTTCATTTTCCACTTCCATTTATCTTGAAACCAGGTATAACGCACTACTCACAAGGTTGCTAAAAACTTTTCGAAAGCCCACGACCATCAGAAATTATAAACTTAGATGGATTAATTCGAGCCCTACGTCACGGCTAAATTGGTGTGCAAATGGAGGTATTTTCTGTAGTCTTTTTTCAGTTTCCCTACACTTGCTGTAAGCCCGGGGGTTGATAGAAAGCATCCTTTTTTATTTCGCTGTCTTCAGCCTTACTGAAAAACAAGAACAAGTTAGTACTCTCGGATATTTCACCTAACTCTTCATCCTTTTCCGACCCATTCCCACTTGTCTATAGGAAGAACCGTTGAAAGCATGATGCTGTTGCTTTGCTTATTTACTCGTTTTATCCACAGAAAAAGGTAACTCAACGGTTACCACGATTTTTTATTGACTTTTTCGTTGTTTCTCACCGGTCCACTTCCAAGAACACCGATGCCCCAAAAGTTGCGGCTATAACTCTATTTGGTTTTACGCGTTATGCAGGTGACCATCAAACACTGACCGACTGATATCGCTAAATATGCTGACGGCTCTCTTCGTAGTTAGACATTGATTATCATCCTATTTTTTACTCCTGCCTTGCAAAAAATCTACAACTGTGAATCTCAAGATGAGTGAAAATGACATTTTACTTCCTGCTGTTTTTGTACCTTGCATGAATAATCTCGCACTGTCTCTTCAAATTCGCTCATGATTCCCAAATCTAAGTGCCTCAACTTTGCGAACAATAGTTATTTCTATAGCTTTGTAATGTACTACTCATAAGGTTGCTTAAAATCCATCGACAGCCCACGACCGGTTTCGCCCTTCTTGGGGCTCATCAGGTAAGCGCGGTCCCCGGGTTCCCGTCAACATTATGTTCTACTTGAAACCAAATTGCACGAAATTAGCGAATATACACTCATTTGCAAACTAATTTGGCTCTTTCGAGAGACTCACCTGGAACCCAGCTGAATCTCTCGTTTATGCTGTTCTTAGGCAACTGAATGTGCTGCACCAGGCCACCTCATGTTTCAGTCGCTACGATATTTCTATTTTATAACTGACATCCGGCCTAATAAATGTATTCTGCTCCGGCTATTCAAAATTTCGTTTACACGCACCCAGTGACGAATCTCACCAACCCGTTCAAAGCTTCATGCGTTCGCTCCGGGATCGCCTCCAAACATGTATATACCTATAGTTCTCTCTTAAATAACTTCAATTACTTCGTTTTTATTATATTACCCCGTTACCACCGGAGCCATCCAAACCCAATTTCACGCTATGTCTTCCAGTTGAATGCTTTATTTCCACACTTCACTCCAGTAATGAGACGGTTTGCGTATTTGGGCACCTATTGAGCTCTACTGAAGCGAGCCGGCTCAATGTCAACCAGGTCTGTCCTACCAGACAGAACAATAGTTAAATGTCTGACCAATGCACTTTCCAGACCCTCTAGTTTGGGGCCTGGAACATGTGTTACAATGTGTCCATTAAAACTGAGCTACTCGACCAGCATCAAGCCGACCACCACTGTCTTGTGGTCAGGCTTTGGCCTGTGTGGTCGACAGACGCTCTCATAGAGCGCATAAGGAAACAGCTTTCCTGGAACTGGATAAAAGGATTAATCATGCTTGGTTCAAATGAACTTAGGTTAACCTACAGCTAATTTTAGTTGC